GTCCTGACCGCGTAGCTCAGTTGGAAGAGCATTGGGCTAGTATTCCAAAGGTCGTAGGTTCGAATCCCACCGTGGCCGGGCATATTTTTCAAGCTCGCCCGGTGTGGATATAGACTCAGAGTAACACCACATATATCATATTCACCTGAGTACACTACACCAACACAGAAAAAAAAAAAAATTATCAGACTTGTTGCAAGGTTGTTCCAGCAAGTCCGAGTGTCCGATACAGTCAGATATACCAATATTGTTACAACCTTGTGTCGTCAACCTTGTAACATTCATGTTATGTCATGACTGTACCAGACTTGTTAGAACAAGCTTGTAACAAGTCTGATAATGCCATCAAGCTTGTTACAAGTTGTTAACAGCTTGTTCCAAACTTGTTACAACAACTGGGAACAAGCAATGCGAACACAACTTGTCGACAGCTTGTGAACAGTTTTGTAACAACTTTTTTGCAGTCCTGTGTTTTTGCGTGTGTATACTTCTACTCGATGCCGCAACTTGTGTCTCTTTTTATTAACAGGTGTGTGTGATCTTCCCGTCCTAAACACAGCTGGTGACTATGTAAGCAACGACAGTTTTACTGCCAGCGGATTTCTCGGTAGAAGATACGGCCCGCACCAGTCACCTATAGACAGTGACTTCCCTTGGTGTGACAGTGGTTTGAAGAACAACGCGTACATGCAGATCGACTTTGGTGGACCACTAAGGGTTATCGGTTTCGCAACAAGACGACACAAAGACCACTGGGATAGCTGGGTTTCCTCGTACAAAGTCTCGCATAGTTTGGATAGCATGGAATGGAATTTTGTCAATGTCGGCGGGGAACCGGTAAGGGAGCGGAATCATTGTTTATGGTGGGGGGCGGGGGTGGCACCGAAGAGAAAAGGGTTGGGTAAACAACATTCCCAGTTGAGTAAAAGGTTGGGTATATGAAAAACAAAACAACTCAAGGGTTGAGTAATATAAATTTATTGTCATTTCCAAAGCATGACTCACTACTCTAAGGGACCGGGAAGTTTCATGTTGCCTGCACATGTACTTTCTTTGGAAACACCATTTGCCTCCTGACAAATCGGAAAATGATCAAGATAGTGACTCTGATTGATTGATTGATTAATTTACGTATTGTATTGACATATGACTGTTGACATTGCTCTTTTAGTCTTCAATATTTGAACGCAATTTTAAGTGTCTTCTGTTGATAGTGAAAAAGATATAGTAGTTTTCTCAAACTGCAAAGGGAAACACAAAAAAGTTCGAGATAGCCGAATTGCTATCAAATTACAAAAAATATTATTCATCGTGATTGCGCGTTTCATCTCAGCTATCCCTATTCGACGATTATTTCATTATACGAAAATACAATGAGCTCAATCACCGTGACCGTGCACAAATTAACATAAACTCCGACAAAAACATAATACAATGACTGAAGTCGCACATTTTTTGCAGGTCCTTGATGGAAACGCAGACACAATCAAGGGCAGGGAAGTCACGCATTTCATCGATGAACCGGTTCTAACTCGTTTTATCCGCTTTGAAGTTGAAACTTTTGTGGGTGCTCATTCATGTATGAGTGTACAAGTCTTCGGCTGTGCACCTGGTAAGGATATATAATTAGTTTATTGATTAGATGATTGATGTATTAATTGATTGGTTCATTAATTAGTTCATTAATCGATTAGTCGATTGATGCATTAATTGTTGGTTCATTAACTAGTTTATAATTAATAGATGATTGATGCATTAATTGATTGGTTCATTAACTGAGTTTACTTACTGATTAGATGGTTGACGCATTAATTAATTGGTTCATTAATTAGTTGATTTATTGATGGACGATTGACACATTAATTAGTTGGTTTATTAATTAGTTGATTTATTGTTTAGACGATTGATGCATTAATTAATTGGTTCATTAATTAGTTGATTTATTGATTAGACGATTGACGTATTAATTAATTGTTTCATTAATTAGTTGATTTATTGATTTGGTGATTGATACATTAATTAATTTGTTAATTAATTACTTGATTTATTCATTAGATGATTGAGGCATTAATCGATTGGTTCATTAATTAGTTTATATATTAATTATTTCATTTATTAATATTAATATTATTGCATAGGTAAATCTCAGGTAAATGGTAATCACCTTGGTAAATCTAAGTTTTGAAGGATTTGTAAGAGATGTTTGAAGGAACTGACTTAGTCTTAAGGTTACAGAACACCTTTGAGTGTTAATTTTGCCTAAATTTTTTTATTGGTTTCCATGAAAGCATTAGACTAGTTCTACTATCTGACCAAGTTTGAACGAAAAATGTTGAAAACTCGCTGAGTTATTTAATAAAATCATTTCGCAGCAATAAGAAAAACATTGAAAATGTAATATTCAAATTCAATTTTCTCCCGAAAAATTTTACGGTAATTACTGATTTTCAAACGAGTTGTGCTCCTGCGGGTTTTAACCAATTTTTCTCAAATTTTCACAGGACAT